CAGCCACTAGAGGGCACTCTAGGCTTGTGTACCAGTATTTGCTACTCCTGTACCGCTGAAAATGTACATGTTGATTATTTTCACACTGACAGCCACTAGAGGACACTCTAGGCTTGTGTACTAGTATCTGCTACTCCTTTACCACTGAAAATATACATGTTCGTTATTTTCACACTGACAGCCGCTAGAGGGCACTCTAGCTGGCTGGTGCGACTTATACTCCGGAGCGACTTATATATGTTTCTTTCTTCTTCATTATGCATTTTTTGGCTGGTGCATCTATCCATTCATCCATCAATCCATCCATCTATCTAGTTTTAGTGGAGTACACCAGGGATCACTTGGAAACGTTGGTGTAGTTCCTAAATTATACTTAGAAAAAAAAAGAACATTGTTTTGGCTGGTGCATCTATCCATTCATCCATCAATCCATCCATCTATCTAGTTTTAGTGGAGTACACCAGGGATCACTTGGAAACGTTGGTGTAGTTCCTAAATTATACTTAGAAAAAAAAAGAACATTGAAAAAAGAATCAGAGAAAGGTTAAAACCAACATGTCTGACCTTTCTGGTTGTCGATGACAAAATTCCCTTCCTCGTTTCCTGTGGAAATTTTATATGTGATTCCATCTCCATCAGGATCCTTTGCCAGTACCGTGGCCACAAGTGTGTTAGGGCCTGCGTCCTCTGAGACAAAGGTGCGATATCTACGAAACAGAAGGAAACAGTTGTAGTCATCATAGTAAACAGAGAAACCACATACAGAAAATGGATGATGGCATTGTCCTATGAAGAGGTGACTAACACTGGTCGATGGAAATTTCACTAGTTTCCATGCAAGTTTTACTGAGAGGAGTGGACAAACGTGTCATCTTATTGCGCTATACCTCGGAGACAGTTTAAATCACCAGTTGCAGGCCATACATTGGATTGTATTTTGCTTTCTTTCATTGTTTTGTTGTTTTTTGGGGGACTTTTTTGCCTTTCATAACAGCTCCCAGGTGAGGTCAGTCAGGTAAGTCAGATTCTTCTGACATTATTATGTCCTAGATACCACGGTGTTAGCGTCAGTAAGTGACAGCGGTGCCTATCTACAGTATGTGAGTTCCAACTGACAATCTAGTTACGTCGCACCGTAGCAATGGAACACCGATGTTAGTCCAGATTATAGTGTACTAAATCAAACCACGATATTATAGGACTGAGAAAAGATGAAACCTGGGATTTAAGGAATTCAGGTGATAGGGACCAAAGATACATCCAAGCAAAACAAAGAGAGCAATGCAAAAAAAAGTCAACAAGTCAACATCAAGACTAAAACCAGTCATTTTTACTATCCTCCTAAACAGGATTTGACCTTAAAGCCCCACGAATTGAACCTGATAACATGTATATTTTTATTTGTTTTTATAGTTGGGCCCGCCCAACTATTTGAGAAGTACTGCCCTAAAGACAAAAACCTAAATTGTGGCAAAAAAACCCAAACCTCTAAAGTATATAAATCGAACTGCAATGTTTACTGTAATAAAGTAGAGTAATATAAAACAACATGAGAGATTTCTTTCTTTCATTTTGAATCTACTCCAATTTCTGACCTGTTTTGGAGTCACTTTTGAGTCTTTTTCTTCTTCTAATTTTTCTCTTTTTTGTTTAAGTCCTGTTGTAATTTCACACTTGTTTGCAGATCAATACTCAAATTGGGCCAAACGCTGTGCTCTGCTTCTTGATTGCGTTGTTTCTCTGGCGTGCACGTTGCACATCGATCAGACAGACTTGCCCTCCTGGTGGAAGGAACCGTTTGAAATAAAAGGATCATTAGATAATTGCTTGTATTTTTCCTCTCACCTAAAAAAAAAAAAATGAAAAACTCTACTCCTGCAATCCTCTCTCCAATTTTCAATTATTGACCCTGCAATTACCTACGGCTCTCAGTTAGTCTCATGTGGTTTTTTCTGACTTTTACAAGTTGAATTACATCATTTCAGATGCAGAAACATGATTATACAATTTTGGGTTTTTTTTCAAAACTCTGTAACTTGTATTTAAATTAACTGCACTGAAAAAAAACAGCAGCATAATTGTGGGTCTCCTTCAAATAGGTTGAAATATATTCTTGAGTCTCCGTGCAAGAAGTTATTTAATTTTGAAAACTTTTTTAAAAAATGTTGCATTTGAATAAAACATTCGAATCTTAAAAAAAATGTTTTATATATTGTCATGGTTTGGTAGTAACTCGAGAAGTTATTTAATTTTGAAAACTTTTTAAAAATTCGTTGCATTTGAATAAAACATATTCAAATCTTTAAAAAATGGTTATATATATTGTCGTGGTTTGGTAGTAACTCATGAAAGATTGTCAAAAACATTTGTTTAAAGCTAAAAAAAACGAAAAGAGAAAATTCTGAACCAAAAAACAGGAGTCTCCGTTGGTCTTGAAACAAAAACAGAACGTTCCGCAAACATCCTGGACATCCTGAAACAGAAGTTAGAAAAGTCTTTACAAAGGTCTTGAAAGCCACTAAGCTTTTTCTACTTCATATTAGGACTGCGCCTCCACGCAGCTCCGCTATCAGCAAAGTAAGTCTAATTCCGCTCTGATCGAAGCACGGATCAATGGAAATATGTCGGAGAAAAACACAAATGAACACTAATTACTTTCTAACCAGAAGCATCTTTTAGTTTTACTCTCCTTCTGTGACCTCAGTCTGATGTTACAGGTACAATTCTGAAAACGAAATTACTGAGCTCATTTAGTTTGGACTGATGTGAGAAGAGGTAGAGCAGGTGTGGACAAACTTTTTGACTCGCGGGCCACAATTGTCCTAAAATTAGACAGGCGGGCGGGTCAGGAGCAGATAGATGGAGAGTTTGTGCGAACTAAGATAAATGACATGTAAAAGTAATGCATAAAGGCTAAAATGCTTTTAACATTTTCTACGTCATCTATTGGGGAAATGTGGGTATTCCAGGGAAAAGGCAGAAGTATAATCGTAATATTAATAAAATATGTCATTTGGAAAAGATTGGCGGGTTGGATTAAAAGGCTGAACGGGCCGCATCCGGCCCCTGGGCCTTAGTTTTCCCATGCCTGAGGTAGAGGATGGAGAAGGAGCAGAAAAGTAGAGGGAGTGCTTCATCAGCTTAAACACTGTTTACTCAAAGTCATTTTCAGGAACTTGATTCTGTCTGTGTATTAATATCTGTTTCCTTATGTAGTACTTTTGTCTGGTTAATTTACGCTCAGGTTTAATTAATTTCACAGGCCGCCAGCCTGACTGTACAGCTGATCTTCAGAGAACAGAAGGCAGAGAAGGAGGTGGTGAGGTTGATTTCCTGGTTTGTTTCAGCCTCACATCTTCTCAGCTACTTGTTAAAATACCACAAACAAACACATGAATCACACTCACTGAAATATTCATGTGGATAAGTTACACTGAAGAAGAAACAAGCGGAGAAAAGAGAGCGAGATGAGCCGCCGCAGGTAAAAAAAAAAAAAAAAAAAAAAAAAAAAAAAAAAGGCCAAAGATGAGACGAGAGGAGACTAAAACAATACCAGGGTTCCTTTCTTCCTTCATTTATTTCCTTCTGTCCTTCCTTTCTTTCCTCCTTTTGACTCATGGATTAATTGTTTTCTTTTAATCCTCTCTTGCTGACTTTGAATTGAAACTTTATTTTCATTGATTTTCTTCATTTAGCATATGGTTCTGTTTCGTCTTTTTTTCTTTCTTTTAAAGCCATAGAAAATTTGTATTAATTTTTTTTATATCGAACACTACCTTCTTCAATGTGTAGGGCCGTCAGAATAGTTGATTTATTTGAGAAACTAATCAGTTTTAAAATCCCAACACAGTTTGATATTATTTACACACGCTAGAAGAGATATCATTTCGCCAAAGCGCTTTGAGCTTTAAATACTCCAGTGCGTTTGTAAGACAACAGTTTCACCAAGCGCAGGGCAGTTAGCCAGTCTACAACTGACAAGATGACACACACAATTGTCAACTGGGATGCCAGGGATTTTAGATTCATCCAGTTTTTCACATTATCAATTCCATCATTCGGAAAAGTCACCTATAAAAAAGGGCAGAAAATCCATATCAATCCATTTATTTGTAATATTTGTTTTTCTGTTCCAGGGATTTATATTTTTTGATTAAAATCAAAGCACAAAAATTGTAATAATTTTACAGTCCTAATAAATATACCTTGCTATTTTGCCATTACCACTAAGCAGTTGGGTTTGATAGTGGCCCCTAAACTGAACTGGTGTAAAAACCACCTATAAAAATACTATATATAGTATGGTATATATATACATATATACATTTTTTTCTTGATTTTCTAAATTATTTTTAAACTAATTTTTTTGTTTATCATTATTTAACCTAGAAATGCTTCATTCAATCATCTCTGACTGCTGTCTTTGTTTTGTGTATCTTTCAGCTATTTCTAGGATAACCTTATTGATAAGTGTTTTAACTTGATTCATTTTATCTGACTTCTCTATTACTGGTTAAATTCTAGACTTCCTTTTAGAATTACTTTGTGTCCTTTTTTTTAATGCTAACAGTAAATGTGACAGACAGGCTGTGATGTTGTTTTACTGATACCAAAATGTTCAGTGAAATCCTCATATCACACTTACACTGGTTGTGAAAACTCCGGAGCCTCGTCGTTGACATTAGCCATTCTGATGCGGACTGTCGTTGTTCCGGTGCGCGACACAGCCCCTTTATCCACAGCCATTACCACAAACTCATACAGATGGTTCGGTCTCTCATAGTCCAGGGGTGCAGCTGGGAAAATAGTTCCATGAGGAGAAATACTGAAGTCCTGACTCAGGGTGTAGAAGGTCAACTCCGCATTTTCTTCTGAGTCGCAGTCAGTAGCTGATACTATGAATGGAAAACAAAACAAAGAAAAACATGAAATAATGCGCCAACATTACCTCCGTGAACAAAAAACATCCAACACCAACAATCACAGATATTTATTTCTTTGTTCATTTACTGAGAATTTAGAGGCCATGCGAAAAAAAACCTCAAGCTTCAAATACCATCTAAATGGCCACCATGCTACTGAGGAGGCTTCAATTTCAGTTTGAAAAGGTTTGACACCTGGCTGATGTCAAAGCATGCTCATCCAGTGCAGTGCAGGGCAGTATATATATAGGTTTATGGCTGACAAGCTGACTGACCCAAATGTCATATAGATTGTGAGGGACTGTAGACTGATTATTATTGTTGAGGAAAATGACTTCCACAAAACTTTGAAAGAAATTCTCAACATATATTACAAGATGGACAATAATAAATGGAATCCGCCAACTTGATAAGCAAAAGTTGTTAGGACAAGTTGTTTCCTCTGTGTTTTGTCATGGAAGATCATTATCAATTACGATCAACATATACTTTAATATGTATGTACGTATATATAGGGATATATTTAGGGATGTCTGATAATATTGGCCGACTGATATTATCGACCCGATATTAGCATAATTATGTAATATCTGTAAGAATCGTTATCAGTTTTTTTACTCCAATAATGAAAATGCAATAAAGAAATGCCTGGGTCTGGCCAAATGATGATGTTTTTGGGAAAAACGGCTGTATAAGAAAGTGAAAGTCACTAGATGGCAGCATTGCAGCTCATTTTATTAATCTATTTTGACAATTACCAGGCACTCAATAGTATTTCAATTTTGGTGGCGGGTGGGGGGGAGAAACTTCTCTCCCAACGGAGAAAATAGTGAGAAACATTGTTTAACCGATCACCATAGTGAGCAGGTGACACTTAACTTCCTTAACCACCAGGCCACTACTGCCCCGCTATATCGGTATCGGTTGATATCGGAATCGGAAATTAAGTGTTTGGATAATATTGGATATATAGTTAAAGTTAATATCGGACATCCCTATTGTATGTAGGTATATACATATATACATATATGTATACTTAAATATGTATATAGAGTATATATTTAAATTATGTATTTATATATTTCCTAAATATTATCATATTACATGTATGAAGTGCCTTTATTCAAAATGTGTTTCTGTATTTGTGCATGTAAAACCAATACATTGTCAGCTGAGTAATCTCTGTAAGCAGAACATCTGCTTATTCAAATCCGTGCAACTGTTTCGCTTTAGCGAGGGAATGGAATGGAATCAATGGCGGAGAGAACACTCGACGTGTGATACAGATGCATCAAATGACAGTTTCACTTTAACTTCAAATAAAACCAAATAAAAGCACCAAAAACCTAATCCTGACTCTTTCTCAATAGGAGAGGAAGATTTTCATTCCGAAGCTATTTTCTCCGGTTGGAATCAGTCTTGCCGTGTTTGTCTTTATGCAGGTAAAGCAAGTAATGTCTGGTGTCGTTCCAATTTTCGGAGGCAACTCAAATGGGTTTTCTTGCAAAGTTTGAACAAAGGAGGTGTTAGAAAACACCTAGAGTACAGAGAAAAGGTGAAGAGGATTGTGTTAGTGCGTGTTTTCACTGTGATGAGCATGTGACATCATCAACATCATCACTGCCATCATCATTACATTAATCAATATTAAATGTGGGTCAGGATAGCAGATGTAAAAGTCATGCATAAAGGCTAAATTGCTAAAATGCTAAAATGCTTTTAGCCTTCTCTATACCATCTATAGCGAAAATGTGGGCATTGCAGGAAAAAGGCAGAAATATATTCACAATACAAACCAATTATATAATTTGGACAAGTGTGGCAGGCCAGATTACAAAGGTGAAGGGGCCGCATCACGCCCCCAGGCCTTAGTTTGCCCATGCCTGATCTACAATGTTACAACATACAGAGTAGGTTTTTATTCCACCGCTGCCTCCATCATTACGTGCGTGGTTTGGATTTCATTAATGTTTCACTGAAACTAGACCAGACACATTGATAGCGTTAGCCAGTGTATTCAAAAAATAGCTAACGGGAGATTGATGAAAAGAATCTAAAACTGATTACAGAACAGGTCTGTGTCCAGTGGTGGCAGTCAAACACATCTCTTTCTCTCTCTCTCTCTCTCTCACACACACACACACACACACACACCGCACACTGGGGAGTCAATATTTAATTTACTAAGTACAGATTCTAACTCCTCTGAGTGCTGTTTGGACTTTTATTTATCTTTTTATCAGCAGCTCCCTCTCTGGTCTTAAATCTGAATCCTTATTGTTTCTGCTGCTGCGATGAACATCTCAGGCTGCGCCGGTCTCTGATTGTTTTCAAGTTAGTGGTCTGTGTAGCTAAGAAAAAGTTGAATATACGTTTGGAGGTCATCGACACTTTGTTAACTGACTCAACAATGAAGTTATTGGTATAACAACATTAGGGATTATGAGATTTTTAGGGAATTTGTTTCTGAGCTTTAAAATCAGTTAGCAAAAAGTAGGTAGAGAACGGTAAAAATAACCAAAGAAAATTATTAAGAGCTAATCCAGATATGTATCAGTGCAGTGGAACACCTAGATACGAGTTCCCCAAAATACGAAATAATAATGCGACATTTAGCTCAACCGAGGACTCGCATTCACTCAGTCGCATGGCATGGGGAAGCAGCAAGCTCTGATTCCAAAGCAGCTTTGGAGTTTGTCATAAACTCTTACGCTTAGTGGCCCCGACACTCTGTTGCGCTGTCTCGCTCAATGTCCCTTGCTTGGTTATTTTAAATTTTTACAAATAATAATGATTACAACGATAAAAACAATACTATAAAATGTTTTCTTAATGACTATTATTATTTTATCTTATCAATATATTTGTTTATATCTATGTTTTTGATGTTTAGATGGGGGGATTTTAATTTAATTAATTAACAGTATATTTCTTAGGTTTTTTTTTCTTTCTTAGTTATTTTTTAATGGGGACAATTCAATGTACATAAGAGAGAATCGACACGAGTGCTGTTGTGGAATGGATTAAACTAGTATCTACAGCTCCCACTGTATAAAGTAGCTTAAATGATCATAAATGATTCATTAATCACAATTAATCATTAACATGTGTAGGGACTGTGTATTAATGTAACAATAAGTAGATGGAGGGTGGGATGATTAGGTGTACACACAGATAATTAGCTCATACTGGCCTAAAGTGCCTAAAAGGTAGAAAATAAATCATTTCATTGACCTTGATTAAATAAATGTGTCTTTTAACTCACCCTGCAGCAGAGATGTAGCCGTGGTCACCGTCTCGGGAACACCCTCTTTACTGTATATGGACTGAAGGAACTCTGGGACGCAGTCGTTTTCATCCACGATAACAACGCGAACCTGAAGGTGGAGGGACGAGAGACATGAACAAAAAGTCACCTCTGTGTCTTAACAGACTTTTGCGCTGTTCCATTAAACAGTTACTTTTGTCGCATTCTGTAGACCTTGGATGTCCAAAAAATTTTTTGTAAAAAATATATTTCACCAAATAGAATTTTTAGGGAATTTGTTTCTGAGCTTTTTTAAAAAAAAATGGGCACGATGATAAGGAGAAAAAGTGAGAGAGCTTTTTCAGGTCTGTTTGTTAAGGTTTTGATTCTACTGAAATAGGCAAAGATGATTAAAATGTAATTAAAGCCCAACAAAATGGCTTCATATGCTTACCAATAATATTTATAATCAGCAAATACAAGGCTAAGCATATTAGCATCATTCTGTAATATCGGTAGGAATTGTATCGGTTTTATCTTCGATAATAAAAACTCGATAATGTTTAGTTTAATTTGTGGAATGCCTTTAGTGGGCGACCACAATAAAAGTAGGTTATCTGGTAAGTCCACAACAGGAGATATGTGATGTTAACCAAATTATTTTTGGGGAAAAACAGCTGCATGTATTAGTATCAGTTGATATCGGAATGGAAAATCCAAGTGTTTGGGCAATATCGGCATATCAAATATCGGCAAAAAGCTAACATCAAACATTGCTAAAAAACACCGCATTCTACAAGCCAAACTAAGAACAACAACAAAATTCAGGAAAAAAAACACTTGGCAAGCTTGGTAAGGATTTCTGAACATCAATAGAAGCCAAATAATAATAAAAAAAACACATCAGACACAAGTCTGATGAAGGTGAGTTGGCACATCAGTTAGCAAAAAGTAGGCAGAGAACAGTAAAAATAACCAAAGAAAATTATTAACAGCTACTCTGGATATGTATCAGTGCAGTGGAACACCTAGCTACGAGTTCCCCAAAATACGAAATAATAATGCGACATTTAGCTCAACTGAGGACTCGCATTCATTAAGTCGTATGGCATGGGGAAGCTATGAGCTCCGATGCCAAAGCAGTTTTGGAGTTTGTCATAAACTCTTACGCTTAGGGGCCCACGACACTCTATTGCGCTGTCTCGCTCAATGTCCCTTGCTTGGTTATTTTACCAATTTTTACAATTAATAACAATGATCGACACACGAGTGCTGTTGTGGACTGGATTAAACTAGTATCTACAGCTCCCACTGTATACAATATTATAATATATTATATCCCACTGTAGCTTAAATGATCATAAATTAATTATTCATTAATCACAATTAATCATTAACATGTGTAGGGACTGTGTATTAATGTAACAATAAGTAGATGGAGGGTGGGATGATTAGGTGTACACACAGATAATTAGCTCATACTGGCCTAAAGTGCCTAAAAGGTAGAAAATAAATCATTTCATTGACCTTGATTAAATAAATGTGTCTTTTAACTCACCCTGCAGCAGAGATGTAGCCGTGGTCACCGTCTCGGGAACACCCTCTTTACTGTATATGGACTGAAGGAACTCTGGGACGCAGTCGTTTTCATCCACGATAACAACGCGAACCTGAAGGTGGAGGGACGAGAGACATGAACAAAAAGTCACCTCTGTGTCTTAACAGACTTTTGCGCTGTTCCATTAAACAGTTACTTTTGTCGCATTCTGTAGACCTTGGATGTCCAAAAAATGTTTTGTAAAAATTATATTTCACCAAATAGAAAAATGTATCTAATGTACTTCTTTGCATTAAATCAATGGGTAAATATACATACATTTATGTTTTGACTGTACTGGTCCGGCCCGCTTGACATCGATTTAGGTTGTATGCGGCCCCTTAACCAAAATAAGTTTTACACCCCTGCTGTAGATGAATCACTCACCAGAAAGTTCATAGAGAAAAACTAAATGATTAGTGTGCTAATAATCTCCAGTTTCCTTTTACCTCGGTGACATGAACTGACCTTCAGCTTCAATCAGATACAGCAGAGAACATGCTCAAAAATATTGTAACTGAATCAGTATTTAATCAGTTCTATTTGCACTCTCACTCTCACCAACTGGCCTGCGATAAAGTCTCAAGGAAAACTGTGTGTTTTATACATGAAGTTAGTTACACACTGGGTTGATGTTGTTTTCTATTTGAAACCAAATCATTTTATTTTTTGCCTTTTAGCAACAAATGAATGGGGGTTTTTGGGTCATATAAAATATAAAAATTGGTTCGGAGAAGATGTCCATTTATGTCAAGGTTAGAACAATGACTACTGCGGGAACCAAATGAATTTTTGTTTTTCTCATCTCTTTGGGTCTACAGCCTTTTTCATGTGACTGTAACCCAATATTAACCCCAGTCCTGTCACAAAAGAAAGCCTCAGACCGTCTGCCTCCACGAGCCTACAATCACTACAACCTCTTTGGGTTTATTTAGCCCAGCAGACTAAGTGCTTCCACTGCTAGTGCTAGTGCTTCTGTTGCTGGACGCTCAGCAGATTGGCACCAGACTGCAATAATGTTTATATATATATATTTTTTTTTTTTTTTTTTTTAAATCCCAACAAACAATGTTAGGGGGATGGTAGTGTTTGTCAAGGAGATGTGTAAGAGTATAATGCTCTTCAGTTTGTCAGACATATGAAGATAAACACAAAGCAGACTTGAATTCAGGAATCAGGAGAAATGAACACAAAGGTAAAACTGAGAAGAGTCTAAAATATTTCCTACCCACAAGGAGACACGTATAGTTTAGGATTCTAAACATACAGTAATAGTAGTAGTAAAAATGTATTGAAGGTTTAACGGAAAGGAAAGTCACGGTTCAGTATGTGTCTTGGTATTGACATTACAGTTTGGTACATTTTTGGGACAAAAAAAGAAAATGTGAATGCACAAAAGAATTGGGGCAGCAGTGGACTGGTGTGGACTTGCGTCCGGAATGTTTCAGGTTCAACTCCACAAACTGAAGTGCACTGGGTGCAGAATGACCTCCTGCGGGCCACTGGTGTGAATGGCCAAAGAATCGGAAACAGACTTCATGAGGGTGGCCTGAGGGCACAATGTCCTGTAGTTGGCCCTGTGCTCACCGTCCAGCACCGTGGAGCTCCACTGGCATTTGCAAGAGAACACCCGAAGTGGCAACTCCACCACTGGTGCCCTGTATTTTTCACAGATGAAAGCAGGTTTCACTCTGAGCACCTGTGATAGTTGTCAAAGAGTCTCGAGAAGACAAGGAGAACGCTATCCTGCCGGCAACATTGTTCAGCTTGACAGGTTTGGTGGTGGGTCAGTGATGGTCTGGGGAGTCATATCCTTGGAGGGACGCACAGACCTCTACTGGCTAGAAAATATCAGTCTGACTTTCATTCGGTATTGGGATGAAATCCTTGAACCCAAAGTCAGACCCTACGTTAGTGTAGTAGGTCCTGGGTTCCTGGAGATGCACAACACATTGTCCTGGTCTAGGTAAAGCTTCCTGGTGTCTCATTATGTCCCTGCTGCTGGGACATGACATTTATTTCATTTAAATTACGCTAACATCTTTGTTAACATCTAATTAATGTAAGGTGACTTGAGCATCAAGCGATTGTGTCATTTTTTTTGTATCATTTTTCTGCTCTGCATTAACAAGTTTCCACTTGACACACTTTGAAACCATGGCTACACAGGTGTAGCGTTCGGCATACGCCTTTATTTGTACGGAACACCCTGTACCGAACGATTCAGGACAAATACCATCCATTCATTTTCATTCGCTTATCCGTTACCAGGTTGCAGGGGCAGCAGTCGTCACCCAAATCACATTGCACTGTACCGAAACCTTCCTGCAGGTGGTGAGTCCACTGGAAGGTACCAACCGCCCTAACCGGGATTTGATCTTGCCCAGGAGGTGAAACCTGGGGTTCCACACCAATAACAGAGACATCGCCTCTGGGCCAAAGCGCCACTCAGGACAAATACATGTACGATTAATATACAGTACACGTATACCTTCACAACACGCACAATATTCCTTAGTGTATGATAACCTAAGAAAATGTTCACTGTTACATCTCACTGCTTCACGTAAAACCGTGTACTGTTTTTAGATGTGGATATGTGTGAACAGCTAGCTCACGAATAATTTTGGTACCAGATTTCTAAAGGTTTTAAATTGCCTGCGCTGAGGTTCATAGAAAAATAAGTGAAGCATCAAAGCGTCTTCTGATGTTAATCTACCTTTCTGGCTGAAATGCTTGATATTCTATATACAGATTAATGTCAGTGGTAAAAACTGACCAGCAGCTCATAGATTTCCCTAAAGAAAACTCAAAATGTTGGTGTACTGCAGACTCAAGTGTTCAGTTGTAAATTTAAAGAGAATATTTAACATTGAAAATCAGAAAGTATCAAAAACTTGCAGGAGTTGACCAACATCCCCTGAATGCTGGGTTGTTTCTCTCTCTATGGACTTTAGGGCAGGCCTTTTAAAAAGGCTAGAGGTCTATAGAAAACAAAATACCTGGAGTACATTTTAGCATTTGTTAAAGCCAGGGGTACTGAGTTCTGATATGTGGGGAATAGATTCTGTAATATTAGATAGTCCATCAGCAAAGAGAAGTCGGGAAATCCTTGGAAAAGAAAGAAGGAAATCTGACCATATCTGCTCCTGGAGGAGATTTAGGGTATTTTAACCATTGGCTGTCAGTCTTACTTATCCTCCTTGTGTATTTACATTCATGTAGGGACTGGACATGTCGGTGCAAGGGCCCATAATGATATACTGTATATGATTTCACTCACTCTGTATGTGTGTGTGTGTGTGTGTGATTTCGAAGTCTAAGGAAAGGCAAGATGGAATAAGACGGGAGGAGAACGTCAGGCGTAATAAAGGGAGATGAGCTCTAACACACAGATACACGCATGCACGCACACCCCCACACAGGTCTCGGGCTGGTTAGGTAACTAATGGTGCTGCTGAGTTATCACTCCTGCAGGGACGGAAAACTTGGAAACTACCTGCAAATTAAAGCCATGCTTGGTTGTTCCAATCAGCAGGGCACCCCCATTCTCCATCACACACACATACACTGAATTTGGTCACATAAAATTGATTCAGAAAAGGCAGGACACTGGCTTGGTACTAAAAGGATAGTTCAGATGGGTTTTGTGTGTGTGTGTTGTTACACGAGGTATTTAATGAACAGCCATACTGCAGAGGAAACCCACTTTTCACGTCACCCGAGCTTGGAAAGAAACTGCATCATCTTGATCTTCATCTTGCAATTTCCTTTACAACAACATAAAAGTCTGTGTGCATTTATATAGCTAACAATGTCCAATGTTCAGGTCTTCCATATTTTTTGATGGTCTACCTATCTATCTACCTATCTATCTATCTATCTATCTATCCATCCATCTATCTATCTATCTATCTATCTATCTATCTATCTATCCATCTATCTAACCATTATTGATATCGCTTATCTATTTAATTACTTATTAATTCACTTCAATTCTCACTCTGATAGAAAATAAATTTTCACTCAGAGGTGAAAAAAACTTTCAATTTTTAATTTTTTTAAGTTTTCATTTTTTTTCTGTGACTGACCAATATACACAACCGTGCGGTTTCTATCTGGATTTATAATGAAAGACAAGACAAGGCTTCCAAGACAAGGAATACCTTCTTATTTCTGACTTTTTTGTATTTCTTTTTCCGAGTCCAAGCATTTATCTTGTTCTGGTCACAGCTGAGTTCAGTCAAACTTTCCTTCAGTCCTCAGAGGATCAGCGCTGAAGGGTTCAGGACAGATCAGTTCAGTAGGACATGTTTGAGCCTTAAGCCAGAGTCCGGCTGGAACTCTGAGACCGGATGCAACAATGCCCAGGGCTCCAGCCTCTGTTCTTTATAATGTCCACTCCGACAAAATGAGGAAGTCAGCATGAACCCCTGGGCGGACATTTAGGAGGAGAACAGTCTGTTGCGGTTTTCAGGCCCTTCAGGCTTTTATGTTGAGAAACATGCTGGTTTTACTATCAGCACAGGTTGTGGATTTCATTTGGCTTTTTTTATGTAAAAATCAAGTTTGGCTATTTTACTGAACATTTGTCCATTTCTGGGCACATAATGTATA